TATATATATATATATCAAAAAAGTATTTTGATATTTTAGCAAACTGTATTACTTTCCTGTCTAGCTTTCTCTCTTACCTGTGGATTATTATCACATTTTTTGTCAAATCCACAGGAGTGTGCGCTGAACTAGCAGGTCGCTGTACCTTTAATTTTGATGCATGGCGGGAATTGAAGTATTCCTCCAACACCGAAAGACAACAAGTCCAACTAAGCAAAACTACAACTACCAGAACACTTTCTCTTATTTGTGTGTGGTCACAAACAATGATGGCGTCGAACGGGGAAGATGCGGGTTCCCCTAAATCTGCTCCTTCTGGGGACCAGGAAGAGAGAAAACCTGCGGCGGTGTCGTTTGGTTTTACCAAAACAGTTAGCAAATTCAAACCGTCGACTGGCGACGCCGGGTTAAAGAAAGATGACAGAGATTATCTGACCGGAATTGACAGAAGAGAATTGCAAAGGTAGGCTTCGTATGCTAATGCTAACTAGCATACCGGTTATCATTTAATACATACATTCGCATTAGCGTAACGGCTAACTTTTACTTTCCCATTCTGATAGCTAACAGTTAAATTATTAGACTTTGTTGGAAAATGTGACGTAGATTTAAACGTTAGACAGCAAGTAAATCTTGTTTTGATGCGGCACTGACTGCTAACAGTTAGCTAACCTCGCTAACGTCACTCTGTGCTGCAGTTCAAAACCATCCGAGAAGCCCAAAGAGCTCATCATCCCTCTGATCCAGAAGAACCGCTGGCACAGAGCGGACCGAGCGGTCCAGGGCGAGGCGAGTGGAGGCAAAACACAGAAACCAACCGAAGACAATGACTCTGTGGAGTCCCAGGCTGTCAAGGAGCTCATTGAAGGTATGTACAGTTAACTCGAATGAATATACGTGTGTTTGTGTTTGTTTGGAAGGCCGAGGTTATCTCAACCCCTCATACACAGCTCCTTATACATCTCTATTTCCGGTTTGTAGACTCACGGAGGCAGCTTGAGCAGTGGCAAAACGGCCCCCAGTCAGAAATGAACCCCAACCTCGCCATCCCATTGTTAATGCAAAACAAGGTGCCTGACGGCTTTGAGGATGGAGACCGTGTAAAGGTGGATCTACGGCCTGAATCTGTAAGTATGGACACTAACTGTGTGACAGAAACACAATCTAATCTGAAGCAGAGGTGCACAACAAAGCATGTGTGCTTCTTGTTATTCTCAGGGCTTGTTTTCTAGTACCCTGTTTAAAGACAAGTGGAAACAGCGATTGGACAATTTTCTTATTTGCGTCTTCGTTATTCCCGTATAATCACATCAGGATCTTTCCATTGCAACTATAGTGGAGTCTGGGAGCACAAAACCATGTGGTGTATTTTAATATATGCAGTATTTGTTAAGTGCTAGGTGAAATACAGTCAAGTCATAGAAAGTACCCCCCAACAGCAGAGAAATTTAAAGAGGTGAGGGAGATTGGATGATTTAACAGATTAATACATTTAATTAAGTGTTGAATCAATTATTGTACATACACCTGGGAGTTTCCTTTGTACTTTTATTTGAGTAAGCTTTCTACTGTTGGCAGCTAGGGTTTGCATAATAGTTGTTTGAGGAGGAAATTACTCGTATGCCCTTAGTTAATTGTTCATTTTTTCTGGTATCGGATGTGAAGATCACAATATAATCTGCCAAGGAGGCATTTCAGTGAGCATAGAAAAACGCTTGACAGTACAAAAAACATTTGGTAGACTGGCTACTTTGACTCCGAATTGAAATTTGAATACGTGAAAGTGCTGACGGTCTGAGTAAAATAACCTCCCTGTGTGTATACACAGTGGTGCGGCTAACTTTGTCAGTACAGTAACGCTTGGGTGGCAGACAGGCGTCAACGTTCTCCCCAGAGACACGCAGGCAACCAATCGGATGTCTCTTCTTTCCGTCGGAGGCCTCCGCGCGTCTCGTCACTGTCGTCCCGTATCTGCTCTCGGTCGCTGCAGATGTGACTGTCAGAACATGAGAGTCGGGGCGGGGGGGAAACGCGCTCGCTGCGCCCCGGAGCTCATTGTAATGCAGCCGTACTCCCAGCTTCCCTCAGAGGAAAGCCGTCTGTGGAGGCAGAGATGAAGCAGGGCCAAGCGCTCTGATGAGGGCTGCTGCCTGGCGACTTCAGTCACCGAGTCTTGACAGCCCGGAGCCAAAAGGCTGAGTAAGACTGGCATTCAAAACTGCTTCTCTCAGTCAGTCGCCACGACAAGCTTTTTGTGTTTCAGAATCCAAAGATTACATAAGCACCTCATTTAGCTCTGATATACATATTAAATGCAGACTGTTTTGTCTGTATTTCTTTTCTCGGGTTGTTTGAGCTTTTAACGAGTGTCTCGCTGTGTGTGTTGGTCAGTCGACAGAGGCAGACTATGAGAGCATTCCTGTTGAGGCTTATGGAATCGCTATGCTTAAAGGGATGGGCTGGAATAAAGAGGAAGGCATTGGACGCACCTTTAAACAGTGAGTAATTAACTGGCACCTTACTCTACCGTTATCTTATCTAATTTAACATTATGCTTAACTTGCACCACATAAATATGGGCTGAAACAATCGATTAATTGACTGACAAAAGAACAATTGGCAGCAATTTTGATGCTAAATTGCTTATGTCGTTCAATCAAGCAAATATGCTAAACGGAGTATATTTCATATACTAACAATTAGTAATATAACAATGACTCAATATCAATCAACAGACTAATCTATAATGAAAATGATCATTGAGATGAATACTGATCCGACATTGACTGTATTTCCACTGTGAATATTAGATATTATTTCAACTAGTGAAATCTGAATGTTTCTGCGCATTAACCTGCAATCATTTTGTCTACTGTAATTCTATAAAACCACTAATTACAGGAAATTAGTATTTTTTTTTCATGAGGAGAAGCAATTGACAGGATCACACATATCTCTGTACTCGAGTCGCCTCATTTTCAAATACAAGAGACGAGCTGTGTGCACCTCCGGCCTCTTTGACATCCTGCACATGTCCATCTCTTTCATTCTTTCGTTTCCCGTCTACTCAGACACGTGACGCCAATCGAACACCAGCTCCGTCCAAGGGGTTTGGGTCTCGGAGCTGATCGTTCAGCGATAAAGGACCTGGAGCCCTCCAGACACAAGCGCCCCCCCAAGCCAGGCGATGAGAGAGAGAAAGAGGAGGAACTAGTGATGGGTCCAGGCGGCTTTGTGCTGGTGGAGTCGGGGGCACATAAAGAGCTGTATGGCAAGGTAGCGTCGATCTGAAATGTGTTTGCGTCCATATTCAGGGAGTCGTACAACTACCTGTTTTATTTCTATGTATTGTTTTCTCTGAATAAGTTGTCAAAACGTTCATTCGTGTGCTGCAGATTGAAGGCGTCGATGCAGACAACGCTCGAATCGTGGTGAAGCTGGCCATCGGCGGCAGGTCTGCGACAATCAGCCAGCATGCTATCAAACTGGTCGGACGCAAAGAATACGACAAAAACTGCAAAGACCTCAGTGAGTAACTCTCAACAAAGGAATGAGTTTAACATTCATGGAAAATGATCTGGATGCTGATAGACTTGGTTTTGTGTTCCTGTGAGACAAAGTAGATTAGATTTCCAAAAATCAGTCTGCCCACTTTTCATTTCAACCAGTAATATGTAATGCCAGTAGCAATATGATAGTTTAATTAAACAGAATTTTCAGTATTCTAAGCTGTTGAGAATATAAACATAACCACGCAGAGTCACTCACTCACAACACTGCAGTGTCTCTGTTTGCCACGTTTAACTTAACGCCGCGCTAACCAGTTTTTCCCCCATTAACCAGGTCGCCTCGGTAAAGCCCACAAGGAGAAGGAGGAGCAACAGAGACGGGAGGAGAAGGAGAGGCAGAGTAATGGTGAAGAGGCAAAACGCAAGTCTTCAGAGAGAGAGAGAGGAAAGGATGAGAGGAAGAGGAAACACAGAGAATCGATTCAAGACAGGTACCCTTCCATACAACCATATGCTTTTCATGTTTCTTATGGAGAAGTATTTAACATTTTATTTCATACATTATTTTACCACACTGCACTTTTTCTCATTTCTATTTGTCAGTTAATAATTTGTCAATGTTTTCTTTTTTGAGTAAATATACTGAAATGAGTTTCTTCTTTCCACCTTAGAGAGAAGCCCCCGGTGAAAGAAGCCCGGCGACCACCGGCTCCTCCCTCCTGGCTCCAGAGGGACCTGAAAGTTCGCTTCATAGACAAAGCTTTCAAAGGGGGAAGGTACTACAACTCAAAGGTACTGATGCTCCACCTACATACTGCATGGTCTATATCTTTAGCTGCAGTGTTTGAATAAATATAGCTGTTAACATCGGTCTTGTTTTCTTGTAGATGTGTGTGGAGGATGTCCTGAGTCCGACTATCTGTGTGTGTAGAACTGAGGAGGGAAGACTGTTGGACAGTGAGTCATTAATGTCGTCTCAGTCTCTCTTTGTGTTGGTTCATCAGTTCCTTATTGGCTATGATTTGGTAAATACATGAGTGACATTTAATATCTGCTGCTCCAGTAACTGTTATAAACCCACGGTTTCTCATTTCGATGGCAGATGTGAAGCAGGACATGCTGGAAACCATTATTCCTAAAAGTGATAACGATTCTATAATGGTTGTACTGGGCGAGCACAGAGGACAGGTAAGCAAAGGATCGTGGTTCCTGCGTATACGTGCGCTGGTTTGTGCCGTTACTAATCAGTGTGCGGTTGTGTGTTCAGGTCGGCCGTATCCTCCAACGGGACAAGAACAAGTGTCGGGCGATGGTCCAGCTCGAACGACATGACGAGAAAGTGTTCCCTCTGGATTACGACACCATTTGTCAGTATGTAGGAGCAGCAGACAACTGATTCAAACGTCCCCCGCCCTTCATCCCACGTGAAATGTTGTTTTTGTGATATTCAAAAATAATGGATTTTAAAGCATCGCTATTTTGTAATAAAACGTTGTCAAGAATTGTATTTGTACAGATATTATTACAAGATCTGCCACCAACCCACGAAGAAAAGTTGCAACGAGTCTTTATCACAGTAATCTTTAAGTTTATTAGCAAATAAAGTCCACTAATGGCCTTTAACAACAACACAGTCAATCTTTAGGTCATATAAAAAAGTATTTACAACATTTCTACATGTTTGACAAGAGAATAAAAGCACCGGTGGTGTAGAAGCTCAGCGCTCAATTTCTGACATTTACACGTTTCAGAATGAAAACTTAAGAGGTGTCAGTCTGTAACGGCAAAGGGAAGACAAACTGTACAACTGTGTCTTAGTTGTTTCCTGGGAGCCTGGCTTACTCCTTGGGTATTTGGTTCGCTGCATTAGCCCGAAGCACGGCCCCTGGACTGGGGTAGGGCCGCTGCTGGAACAGGGGCCCCGCCGCTGTGGTGTCTGCACCAGTCTTTGCTTCATTGCGCTTGGGCAGGCCCGTTGACCACGTGCCCCTGTAAACATAATGGCATTTGCTTTAATAGTTTGTTTTTATACACTCTGCATTTAAAGGGGTATTCTACCAAATGTACACATCAAAATCTGTTTACTGGACATGTTCATTACTCAGACTGTGTCTTATGTGGCCGTTCAAGGAAGATCTAATTAAAAGATGGATTAAATTGCATTGTGGGAATTGAGTCCAAAGTTGTGGGAATTGAAGAGTCCAAAGTTTTGGTGATTGAATATTTAAAGAAAGGACCAAGAGCTTGTTCCATCATCATGACTGTTAATACTGTACCTCGGGGCATCAGAATAAGCACTTGGATCCATGGGGTCCATCTCATCCTCTTTTCTCCCTGTAAGGAAAATAAATATGTATCATCCATTCATGTAAAAGAGCATCATTATTTTGTGAATGCTTGTGTATGTATTGTGCTGTGTATGTATGATGCAGATGTAAACATTACCTCTTTTGGTCTTACTGTACGGCGCTGGGTCCTCCCTCCTCGGCTTTCTTCTCTCTCGTTCCCTCCCTTCGTCCCTCTCTCTCTCTCGCTCTCTCTCCCGTTCCTTCTCCCGTTCCTTTTCCCGCTCTTTTTCTCTTTCCCGCTCCCGCTCTCTTTCCAACTTCTCAAACGGCCTCTCGATAATTCTTTCGTCTCCTCCCTCAGCTGAACGATACAAACAAAATAAAGGCAACAGTCACAAAAAAAAAAACAAACGAACTGCAATCTCTGATTATTTGACAAACGGTGATCAGACCTGCAATGATTTGTAAGTCGTACACCAGTAGTACATGCAAACAGATTTCCATAGTGATACGATTGCAGTGCCGATCGTCAAAATGTGCCGTGTCAAAGTGTTCAGTTGCAGAGGCTCTAAGATGCCATACCTCTAATCTTCTTGGCAGGTTTTGTTACCACTGCAGTTGGGTCATTTGGGGACAGCCAGGCCACCAATTCTGTCTCCACATTCCAGTAATAAGGAAGACCACTGATTCACGGAAACAGAAAATCAAATGGTTGAACTTGAACACAAATCAATAATTAAGGTTAAATAATATTCTTCAGAAATTGATTAATTGAATGCATTTGATTTGATTTAAAAAAAATACACTAACTCTGCATAGTGTAGTCAAGTAGTAGAATCACCAACAATAAAAATACAATAAAGCAGTACGATTTATTTTCAATGTATTTCTTCAACAATGCGAAACCATAAACACAAAGTAGCAGAGTGGGTCATCTTAAATGTATGTGTGTTAAATATTAAATAAATAAGATATTATGACAAAATAATAATAAAATGTTTTTTTTATTACTAATATATAAAACTTTGAACAAAATCATCTAGACTCACTGACCACAAACATACAGATCCACTGTGGCCTTCTTAAATAAATGACGTCAGTGTCAGAATAACATTCCTGTGTAATCTTTGTTAAATATATTGTAGAACTGCTTACGTACCAGGCAGTGTCAAACACTTTATACCAGTTTGGGGGAAGACTCTCCACTCTTGTAGCTTCATAATCCACATTGTTGTCATCGTAATCTTCAGCAATAATCTCCTCATCTGCCTCTGGATGAATTGGAGGAGAAAAGTTGTTACATGACGCATAAAAAAAATTAAATGTCTGAATGCTGTGAACTTGTTAAATGTTTATTACTACCTTGGTCTGACGGTTTAACAATCCCTCTCTTGGCCAAGCGGGCCAGCAGTGCTGCGGGTAGAGGCATCCTGCAACAGAGAGAAGGGAGGATTAACTCAAGATGATGATGATGATGATGATGATGCTAAAACAAGAAGGCAAACCATCTTCCACAAACTTCAGCAGGGACGCACAGATAATGGCCTCCGTTCAAAAGAATTATACTTCCACAAACACTGAAATCGATAAGTAGTTGATCATGATGATGATTGACTTTCCAGCTTAGCACTGTTTTATTATGTTCTTAAATACATTTATTGTTCCCTGTAGCTGTCTTAGCTTACCTGACTTTCATACATGTACAATACAATGGTGGAACAATAGAGTGAATCTAACTCAAAATTATAAATATATGTATAGTCTTTTGTTGGAATCTACGACTTGTGTGGCAGTAAATTTAATTTATTTAGGTTTTGGACTGTTGGTTAGGGAAACCAAGCAATAAGATGAGAAATGATTGGGCCTTTTACACATTTACACACCAAACAATTATTGAAAAAAATTAAATAGATTACCAGATTTATCAATAATTAAAATATTGATTAGTTGCAGCCCTAAACCTAAATTAAGTATCCAGCTGAAATCAGCCAATACTGGTTGTTTGCGCGTGCGCGCGCAAACAACCACACACACACACACACACACACACACACACACACACACACACACAC